TTCAGCCACCCCCCAGGCTCATCCGCAATATGGCCACCGCTGTGTCCAGCCTGAGTCAGCATCCCACTCACAATACAGCATCCCTACAGCCAGTGCCATGGAGTCGGTCACAGCTTCTGTGTGCAGTGCGAGGGATGAAGGAGGCACTTGGTCCTCGGACCTGCAGAGCCCAGCATATTTGTCATTGCCACCTTTTCTTGAGCCAAGGTCTCACTATGTAGCCTAAGCTGGTCCCAACTCACAATCCTCCTGCCTCCCGAGTGTTGGGATTATAGGTATGCACCACCAGCCTAGTATATTAGGCATCTGTACTTGTGTACCATTCTCGTCCTTCACAAATGTCACCTGTGCTCCCCTCAGACACTTTTCAGGAGGAGGCTGCTGGTCTACCACGTTGTTTGAATAAAGAGAGAGATCTTTATTTTTCTGGCGGTACTGGGGCTTGAACTCAGGGCCTTGCACCTGCTAAGCAAGCATTCTACCACTTGAGCCATGCCCAAGTCCTTTTGCTTTTCAGATAGAGTCTCTCTAACTTTTGTCCAGGCTGGCCAAGAACCACAATCCTCCTACCTCCGCTTCCAGAGTAGCTGGGATTACAAGCATGTACCACCACACCAGGCCAAAGAGAGAGATCTTAACCCAAGGGCTCTCTGAATCTCACACAAGCTTTGCTCCAAGCAAAGCTTGGCTCCATCCTCTGCAGTGCTCAGCTTGAGTTCATGATGGGTGCAGCATCTCATGGCAGGAGGGCCTGGGAGACCCTGGCATCCTATACCCTACACCCTCATTCCTCATAAACCCTCCACCTTGGGCTTTGGGAGGGAAAGGCCTGATCCCCTGAGAAAGCCCCTGTAGGTCTGGACCAACCAGCATCCAGACCTGGTTTCAGGAAGACGGAGGTTTGGGAGTTTGCAACACAGTCCTCACTTCATTGTCATTGTGTAACATCAGGAAACCTCTCTCCCTGTCTGGAGCACAGGAACCAATGTGAGGATGAAACAAACACAGACGTGAAGCATGGTGGGGCAGTCCACAAATGGCAACAGGGGAGTGTGAAGCTTCGGAAAGCAGCGCCCCCTGCACTCAACTCTGATCTGCCCTCCCGCCACAAACCCACCTACCTGCAACCCTGGCTCAAGTAGCTGGAGTAAAACTCAGAGCCAGCCACATGATCCCCCCTCAACATTTTGAAAGCAGTTATTACGGACCCAAGGAAGTCTTCTCTGTTTTGCACCAATGGGCCCCAGCCTTCCCAGTCCCCGTGTCACAACAGGGACTCCAGAGCCATCTGTCCCCCTCCTCCTAAAGAGGTACAGCCACTCAGCATCCTCTGACTACAGGGACAGAGGACAGAAGAGAGGACAGAGGACAGCCCGTTTCCTTCTGACATCTCTACCTGCCCAGGGCCTTCTCACGCCAAACATTGGACTTCCAGGCTAGTGCATCCATCACACAGAGGGTTCTTTAAAGAGACTGGGATGAGGACATCACTGGGGCTGCCATTCTGCCCATCCCAGTCTGCTGTCACACTCCCAAATATGACTTGCAGAGTACATTCACCCTACCCCAAGACCCCCATATCTGTTAAGCTGCAGCTGGCACAGTGGCTGAGTGGGGACAGTGGCAGAGAGAGCTGGCTAAAGGCCAAGCTCTCAGCTGTTCCCCACACTCCATCTCCAATGGACAGCTATGTGGTGGGGGTATAGGCTGCTCATCCTAAAAGGGCTGCAGCCTGGGAAGGAAAGACAAAAATACAAGAGGAAGAGCACCAAGCCTGGCACACTGGCCACTTTCACATCACATTGTTGTATTTCCTTTAGAATAAATGAAGCGAGTCACATGCTTCTGTGTGTGCCTTTCCTCTTCTCTGGAATCTAAAGTCCAAGGAAGGCACCCGAGTCTGCCTGCTCTGTCACTGCCTTCAGGACCTAAAGCTAGCATGGGGCAGGAGCTTGGTTTGTTTGCTAATGACAGGTGACAACAGGTTAGACTGTTCTGACCAACCCAGTGACAGAGAAGAGGAACTGGTGCTAGGGCTCTGTCCCCTCTCTGGGCAACCTTCCTTTGTGTTCTGGTCTGATCAAACCATGTGGGGTGAGGACCCTGTGTGCCCAACTAGGCAAGGGTGGGGAGTGACAAAAGTATAACAGAAGGGGATGTGCTGCACACAGAACAAGGGCTGTGCCCCACTCACTTTCCACCAACTTGAGCTTCCTTCTCCCCATCTCTGCTCTGCAGATACATTCTTATGTCAGAAGGAATCTTGAATCAACTGAATAAAGTACTTAAGTACCATATTCCATCTCCCATTTCCAGCCCCACCCACCACACACCTTGAAGGCTCCTAACAGCCAGGCACTGTTTTTGAAGCAAGAGTAAAACAGAGCCCAGCACTGGTGGCTCACACTGTAATCCTAGCTACTCAGGAGGCAGAGATCAGGAGGATCACAGTTCAAAGCCAACCCGAACAAAGAGTTCAAGAGACTCTATCTGGAAAAAACACAACACCAAAAGGGCTGGAGGAGTGACTCAAGTGGTAGAGTGCCTGCCAAGGAAGCATGAGTTCAAACCCCAGTACTGCTTACTACTACACATCCTAACACCCTCCACACACCTCTCTGTGCCCCTGCCCCACCTGCCTCGAGTTACAAAAAAGACCATTAAATTGGTTTATCACCAGCTAGTCCTCCCTGCGCCTCAGTTGTGAGAATTACAATTAAAAGAACAATATATGGAGAACCACCAGGCAAAACAAGGAAAAAGAGTAAGTCCCCAAGGTTAAACTTCTGGATTTCCAAGTGGAATCCTGGAAAGTAACCATTCCTACCCTCTCTTCCCTCCAAGTGCTCTGCAGCCCCAGGCACAGAGAAGGGAGATGCAGACGTGGCCTGGGCCACTGCTACCTGGACCTTGGTTGCCCTGAGAGTGTGCACGCAGGGGGTCGAGAAGGTGCAGAATGAGCTTGACCAGTCCCTCACCCCGCCCCACAGAGCCCATCTGAACTCACACTTAGGATTCCAGTAATAGACGGAGGTAGCCAAGCCAGTCAGGAAATGAGTCGCCACCCCAGGGCCAGCAAGATATGCAATGTTACAAAATCCTCTGGTGACCAAGATCCTGGATGCATCATGACCTTGGTGCTGATAAAGAAAGCAGAGGGTGTGCTACTCCACGACCTCTGGAGCAAGCAACTCAGGACCTCACCTGAAGAGGTCAATACCTGATCCAGAAACACGTCCCAGTGCCACGTGGGAAAGTCAACTGTGACCATGGCTGCTGCAGGGGTCCCAGTGTGGGTCCTCCGTGCCAATTCTGCATCATCCCTTTGTAAACCAGGGCAGGAGAAAAGTCCAGCCAGTCCACACAAGGCACAGAGGAGGGCAGCTACATACAGGGCAGGCAGAGAGTATTGTGGCTGACTGACCTTGACTCCCATGGTTTTCACTCATTACATCCACCAAGCACTCAGTGGGAGGCAAACAGATGGAGAAAAAAATCAGAGAGCCCTTGCCCTGCAGCCTGGGTGGAGGCCAGAGTTGAAGTTCCACAGGAGAACTGCAAATAAATTAGCTGATATGAGCCAGGCACTGATGGCTCCCGGTGGTACTCCTAGCTAACTTGGAAGTTGTAGGCCAGCCCTCCAGGCATCTCCATAATCAGAGCAAAATGGACTAGAGGTGTGGTTCAAGCGGTAGAGAGTCTGCTTTGCAAGCATAAAGCGCTGAGTTCAAACCCCAGCCCCACCAAAAATAAATAAATATACAAATTAGTCAATATGGAAAGGTGCCAGGAATATCATTAATAGTTTGTTGGGGTTTTTTGTTTTGAGGTTTGTTTTTTGTTTGTTTTTGTTTTTTTCCCCGAGGTACTGGGGATTGAACCCAGGACCTCGTGCTGGCAAGGGCTCTACCCCTGAACCACACACCCCTCTTTTGCTTTTATTTTGTTTAGGGATACTGTCTAACTTTGCCAGGGCTGCCCTAGAACTCTCCATCCTTTTGCCACTGCCTTGGAGTAGCTGGGATTACAGGCATGTACCACCATTCTTGGCCACTAATTCAGTTTTAAATAGAGAATTTGTTATGATTTTGTTTATTTGGCAGACTGCTATACCCGAGACAGCAATCTAGAATTTCTGGACAAGTCCTTTGAATATATTACTTTGTAATGTGCTGATAAAAAAAAAAAGGAGTCAAAACTTAAAAGTTTCAGAAGTTCAAAAACTCACTCACTGGAAATGAACTTTACTTGAGGTACCTTATTCTTTTTCATGGGGAAGCCAATAGATCCGATTATTAACACTATAATCACCGTTTTATTCTGCAGCTAAACCAAAAACTGGAATTAAGATCGTTAGGTTGTGCTTTTGTGAAAGCACAAATACCACACACTAAAAGTAATTCACTGCCTATCTTTAAAATGCCTCTTCGGGAAATCCTTCCAAACCCCATGACGTACTCCAGCCGAGGATAAAGAAAATGAAAGGCAGGGCAGAAAACAGACTTCCTAGTCTCCTGACCATTCCAGCAGGGCCAAAGGAACGCGCTGGGCCTCGGTTTCGCCTTGTGTAAAAAAGGGGGAACACTTCCAGAGCCGCTCGCCATCGCGGTTGCTGTGCGCACGCAGCGAGTTCGCGTCCCGAGGGTCCCCACCGGCAGCAGCGCGGGGCGCGTCGGGCTTCGCGCGCAGCTCCGCCTGGAATAGGCACCGGGGACCAAGGGCCAGGCTAAAGTGACCAGCAGGCTCGCCCAGAGCCAGGGTTCTTTTCTAAGCCTAATCTGGATTGTCGCCAAGACGCACCGAGTGGCTGAACAGGCACAGCTTTCCCACCCAGCACGGGGGGACGAGAGGGAGCGGAGACGGGACCAAGGGTGGCCACACCCCGAGATGTCCCCCCTCCCCGACCTGCCCCGGGGCTTCTTCCTCGGGCTGGAAACCCCGCGTCTCTGGCCCCCCGCGGAGCGCCTGGGACAACCTGGCGGAGCGGCGCCGGTCCTCACCTGCGGTATCCCAGATAGAGATGTTGAAGGAGCGCCACTGCTTCAGGTAGAAGGCGCCGCCCACCGTGCTGACCGTGTCCGGGAAGCGCCGCTCCATGTACCTGTGCAGCAGCGACGTCTTGCCCACGTTCATGTCCCCCAGCAGCACGATCTTCCCGTCGGGCTTCCTCATCTTCCCTGCGCCCAGGGCGCAGCTGAGCCGGCCCAGCGCCCAGACCGCTCGAACCCCGGGCTCGCGGGTCCCCGAACTCTGGTGAACCCAACGGGACCCGCAGGAGCGCAGAGCAGATGCACGCGTCCGCGGGGTCAGGAGCAGGGGACGCAGCACCGCGCCTTACCCGGTGAGGGGCCCCGCCCGCGCGCCCCGCCCCCTCCCCGCCCCTCGGCCACCACGCCCCCTTTGTCCTGCCACGCCCCCGCTGCCACGCCCCCTTTGTCCTGCCACGCCCCGCTGCCACGCCCCCTTTGTCCTGCCACGCCCCCTCGCGGACTTGGCTGTGGCGCGGGTGGCCCAGGTTCTTTTCGCTGGGGGAGGCCTGGCGCCCTGCGAGGTTCGGGAGAAAGGAAAGGGTCGGAGCCCACAGCCTGGGGCTGCCCCAGGGCTCAAGATGAAAGTTCAGAAGCGCCTTCCTCCGCTCCCACTCCACACCCGGGTCCAGGGAGCGAGAGGCTCGGGAACGGGTGACCGCGAGTGACCCCGGGGCTCTGATGCCCTCCCCACCCGGTCTCTGCTTTGCGTCTTCCTGGCCCCCTATCCAGCCTTCTTCCCACTCGGGTTCATTTGCTTCCCCGAGTGTGTACGAAGGTCACCACCAATCAAGGTCGTTGGGAAAAGTTTGCTAACACCGAGAAGAGCCCATCACGAAACTGTTAATGATTAGAGAGCCTGCAAGACGTCAGGGGGTGCGGGGAAAGGGCCTTCGGGTGTGGCTGTATTTTTATTTTTGCAAAGAGCCTTTTCTGCCACTTTGTATGTGAAAAGTGGACAGCTTTGCCATTTAAAACTTGGAGGAAATTTGACTTCAGCTATTGCAGTGAAATCTTTTATCCTTCTTTTTTTAATAGAGAAAGCCTGAAATCCTTTAAAAATATTCCCGGAGTGGGACTTGGTGGAACTCCATGCTCCACTTTGAATCTGGTAGGCTCCTGGCTGGCTGGGATGAGCTGGTGTGACCTTAGCAGGTTCACCCTTCTGTGAGCAATTGAACCCCCTGCGCCGTGTTTCCTCTGAGGCCACTGAAACTCCCACCAGATGGAAATGGAACTGCCTTTCACACAGTGCGGGGTGTCACCGAGGTCCCTGAGACCTGAGCACTTGGGACTGAGGTGGAGGGGGACGTTCTGGGGGTGTGTGTGGAAGACTCACCAGCAGGTAAATCCCGTTCCTCCTCCTGCTCGCCATCCCTGCCTCTTTCTTCCGATGGAATTTAAGTCAGTTCGACACATTGAGTGCCTGTTGTGTGAAGTTACTGGGCCGGGCTGGGTCAATCCAGTCATGGACAAGGTTTGGTTCCTGTCCCCCAGAGGTCCAGGTGAATGGAAAACGGATAGGCTTTGTATAAATAAATAAGCCAAGGCCACAAGGTCCCCACCACAGGTGAGCAGCTTGACCTCTCCTCTTCCTCTATCCCACATCCTCCTTGCTTGGATTGATTTGCTCACAAATTAGGATTAGCTGGAACTCCGAGCCTAGAGCCCAAGTGTTTGGGGGCGGGTGAACAGGAGCAAAGCCACCAGCCACTACTGGGGAAAAAATTCAAAGAACACAGGTTTAAGGCCTGGAGGGGGCACCTGGGAAGAATTGAGCCTGTTTCCTCAGCTGCCAATCACCCCACCCAAGCAAGGCTGAGGGCCCCTCTGAGAAAAATGCTGCAAGTTACAAAGCACTAACCACGAGGTGGGGACTGCCTGTACCCCACAAATGACAACAGCTCAGAATAACTTGCTTGGAGTTGATTTTTCATCTCATCCTAAAAAGACTCCAGCTAGAGGTTCCCTTGGCACAGTTCTTCATTAAGAAAAGTCTTCCTGTGGGGTGGGGACTGCATGTTCTTTTTCGCCTTCCTTTCAGAGCCAGACTTCTAGCACCCACTTTCTTATGCATCCCTGGCACTCCCTCTCTAGAGGAGCTGCCAGCAAAGGCCACTAATGACTTGCTGGTTTCTAAATCAGTGAACTCCACCCCCAGGGCAGAGGCACTTTTGCTTCTCTGCCACTTCCCTGTGTTCAGTGCTGTCACACTGGGTCATAGGGCTTCAGGCCCCCCAAGTCCTACAGGAGCTTATCCCCTGTCCTCCCACCTGGAGGCCTGTTCCTTTGTTTTGGAAATATCTAAAGTGCAGCATGTAATTAACAAAGTTCCAAAACCCTAATGGTTCAAACATTTATTCTCTCACAGTTCTGAGGTTAGAGTTCAGGTGCCAGTGAGGCTGAGCCCCTGAAGACCCTGGGACAGGCTCCTTCCTGTGTCTATTACAGGTTTTACACTGACTCCTCACCTGGGCCTGCACCTGTCCAAAGGGTAACCAAAAGCATGAGAAAAGCTTGGTGTCACTATCCCCACTTTGTTTCTATATTCTTTGCTCTGAGCCATTCTCTCCTGTAGTCACGTTGCAGCCACCTTGGAGTCTGGGAAGGATTAGACTGTTGGATAAATCCTGTATCAGGAGCGAAGCTACCCCCACCAGGCAACAATGACTGGCCCCCACCTGACCAATGCTGAGATAATGAGCAGTGGTCCACACCTCTGACCACCTCTGACCCCTGGAATCATACCTGTGACTCAGACTGCTTACTAATTATCCATCTCTCTCACCCCCTGCTCTAATTCGTCCTCTAATTCTCTGGGGTTCACGTCTGCACCCCAGAAGATGGGCTGTGTCTACTAATTCCCCTTTCTCTGTCCTTCACCGAGAAGGATGAGTGGCTCGACCTGACACATAGAACCCCAGAGAGTTGGGCCTCTGGCCTAGAACTCCTGGTTATACCCCTTCTAGCTTCTGGTGACCCAGGTGGTCGTCGGCCTGTGGATGTACTCTCTGCCCCTGCACCTGGCTGCCTTTTTCTTTTCCATGTCCAGTTTTTCTCTTATAAGGATACTGGTCATATTTGATAAAGGGCCTCATTCCGACTAGTTACATCTGCACTATTTCTGAATAAGGTCACATTCTAAAATCCTGAGTATCATAGTCCATTTGTGTTGCTATAACAAAATCCTTGAGACTGGCTAATTTATACAACCTAGAAATTTACTGCTCGCAGGGCTACAGTCTGAGCCCAAGATCAATGTGCCGGCAGGCCCGATCTATAATCAAGGCCTATTTCTCATATGGCCCCATCTGTGTATCTTCACAGGGCAGAAGAGATGGAAGGCGCACCCTTCAATTCCCTTTATAAGACGACACTGATACAATCACAAGAGCAGAGCCATTGTGACCCAATCACTCCCAAAAGGTCCCATCTCTCTATACCATCACCCTAAGATTTCATTCCAACATAAAGATTTCGGAGGAATACATACATTCAAACAACAGAACAGGTCAATATATCTGGGAGGGGGGAACAACTCAACAGATGACAATATTATAATCAACATATCATTTCAATTACCCATTGCTCTATAAGAAGCCACCACAAAACAGAATCCCCCAAATTGTTCTGTGTTCTCTGGTTCTGCAATTACCTGGATCTGGTCGGGCTGAACTTTGGTCTTGCTCAGGCTTGTGCACTGCATTCAGGTAGCAACTGGGACCAGAAGTCTCTGGGGCATCGAGGAGCTGGAATGTCCAAGATGAACGTGGGTGCTGTTTCAGCGCTCCTCCAGGTGGTCCCCTTCTCCAAGTGACATCCATGCTCCAGGGCTCCATGTGGCTTCTCTCTCAGGCGTGCAGTTGGACCACCCTGGAGCGTCAGGGTCCCAGGAGCATATACCTAGAGATGAAGCCGACCCTCAGAGCACTCACAGCACGACTTCTCCACGCGGATCGAGAGGGCACAGGGCCGTGTTTTAGAGACAACTAGAAGAGAGGAATTTGAAGGCTCTCAACATAAACGGTAAGCATTTGAGGAAATGCTATGTACCCTGATCTGATTTACATTTTGTATACTGTACATGTATCAAATTATCACACTGTACCCTACAACTATGTGGAATTGTACACCAGTAAAAAAGGAAAAGAATGCAAAGAGCCCATCCAGCTTCAAGGGTGGGGAAATTCCACTCCATCTCTGGATGGGGAGCAATGGCTAAGCATTGCCATCAGTAATTTACCATGGGCTTTATGTTCACATGTAAGGCTTTAGCCCATTGAAATTTGCTATGGATATGGTATGAGTTTTGAAAATAAAACTTCATTTTTATGTAATAGATATGGAAAGTGGACTGGCCGAGTACCATTTATCAGACAGCCCATCCTTGCTCACTGATTTGTAATCCTGCTTGCTACTGTCTACTAAAGTCCTTCTTACACAGGTGCATTTCTGAACCCTTTGCTCCATTGACATACTCGCCTATTCTCTGACAAAACCACACTGTCTTAATTATAAGTACACAATAAGTCTTGGAACAGGTAGGGCAGGTTTTCCCTCATTCTTTGACCAAGTTGCACTGGCCATCTCTGAACTGTTACTCTTCCATTAAAGGAATACATAGTTAAATGTAGCTCTTTCCATCTCTCTATCCACCTTCCTAACCCTTCTGCATGGATGCTCAGAATGGCAAACCCAACATGTCATGCATCTGCCCTTCAAACAAACCCTTCCCATAGTCTCTTTTCCTGAGGCTACCATGTGTCTGGAACCTCACACCTACATGATTAGGATCCAGTCCAATTTGGCCTCAACTCCAAGCTGTCACCATCCTCTCACTTGTCAACTCCACCAGTTGTTTCTGGTCAGACACCAACCACATCCCCCTATTTCCTACTTTCCTGAGTAAGGTCTTATGTTTATGCCCCACATATTCATGCTTCCCGTGTAGCTGCGGTGATCCAGCTTTGTATTGATTTCAGATTGGGTCTCTTAGGCTGGGCCTTGAGTGCAATCTTCCAGATTACAGGTGTGAACCCCTGCAGCCCGTTTATTTATGTTTAACTGCTCAGTCTCCCTCTTAGAACATCGACTCCATGAGGAAGAGACTCTGCCTTGCTCTCCACTGTGTGTGGTGAATAGCTCGAGGTACACAGTTGGTGCTCCAGAAAGCTCTGAGTCACAGAGAATGGACCGATTCACCATCCTGGTGAGACCAGGAGCGGCATCCCACAGATGTGCCATGACCAGCCACCTTCCACTTCTTACTCATGGAGTT